TTTGGTATATCTATTGATTTGTAAAATTATTTTCTGTTTAAATATTGATATACAAAAAGGTTATTAGACGTGTATTGAAGTGCATAACAATATCGTAAAACAAAGCACTACTTTAGGGAATATTATTCTTAACTCTAAAAGCATTTTATACATGAATATTGATTTGATTGAATTCTGTGTTCAATACTGAATATTATATAATATCCCGACATTCAGAACAACATAATATGTAGGAATCAATGTTTGCCTTAATATAACTTTATTTTGTATTAGAATACGATAAATACTAAATTAAATTAAAGTAACCAATGTCATGCACAATTTAAATAGATGGTACAAATAATAGAAGTTTTAGAATTTTATAAATTGTTATAAATAGTAAATATTCTGCCATTGTATTCATTCATTGTATTTTGGATATAAACATATTTCTATTATAGAAATAGGAATACCATATTATTCACAACTATACACTACACTTATATATTGTATTTTATATCTCGATATATCCCAATATTTAGTATCGAAATAAGTATATTTATTCATGAATAGTTGAGTTATAACAATCATGTTTATAATTAGGGCAAAACTGAGAAATAGGGGTTTAGTTATAACAATATATTAATTATTATCTATAATTATTAGATAATAATGATTTATTATAGATTTTATAAATTATAATCACACAATTAAAGTAAATGATAATTACATTATTTTAATATTAAGAACACATTTAGTTTAATTAAATATTAAATTTAATAATAATAGGACAATACCGTTACAACTGTTTGCCATTATAATACCATCACATATTTATAATGACTTTGAAACATGCATTCAAATCAGTGTATTATAGTAATCATGATAACCATACGTTTAATTATTTGGATCAATCCATTTACTAGGATATTAAAGTAGATCAATAGCATAATTAAACATGTTTTAGATATGTTTATTATAATTAATTTAAAAATGTCTCCTCGACTACAATGTCTTAAAAGTATTTTTCTTTTGTAAATATAGTAATGAGTAATTTAATTAAATTTATTTTGAATTATTTCAATTACATTCTTTTAAACAATTATTGGTTTTATAACAGATATAATGTAAATGTAATTTTTTTACTAACTAATTATTATACAGAAAATAATTATATTTTATAACATAAGGAATAACAAAGAAAATGATATATAAGAATAGGAATAATGATAAAACTATTGGTCGTATAAATTCATGATAATTCTTGAGATGTCGGCTGTTTTGGACGCGTCGACACTCTTTGACCAGTAGTTCCTTCGATATCGGATCCCTTCCTCAGATCTGAGACAGTCTTCATAGAGCTTAAGGACTCCACCCATCGCTACGTTACTCTTCGCCGCAACGTTTCGTAAATTACCTAAAAATTGATTTCTTTTTAATATCTGTCCACTTATACCAAAACGTGATAAATATGTAATAATCATTATATTTATAGTAAGTTTTTATTAAAACTAAAATTGCTTTTATTATATAAATCTATTTTAATGTCTATTATAATAGTAATATAAATGCATTATTTAAATTAAAATTAAATAAAATACAAATTGAAATCCCATTCATAGCATTTATAACGCCCACTGTTTCTGTGCTCTTTACTACAGTATATCTCACGTTATATCAAATGTGATTTCATTTCAAGTGACTTTCACTTATAGATTGCTTTAAATTGAATGATATTATTATATTAAAGTTATGAGCATTTGGTTCAGATTTAATTTGTATTAATTTTAGCAAAGGTTTTTTCGTTTTAACTATTATTTTAATATGGAATTTATTATTTTTACTTATTCTTGCATTAATGTATTGAAATATTGCTATAAAATAGTTATAAAAATGTGAATCTTATGCTTAAAATGTTTTAATTACTTCAAGTAAAGTGTTAGCATAATACATGTAAATTTACATTATTATGAAAACCATGATGTACAAATGGTCACTAACTAGTTAATTATTATCGCGATTTACATTCAAACTTAAAGGGACAAAATGTATGATAAATTACATTGAGCATAAATTTACACCAGCATGCTATATCAAAAAAGAAATTTTGCATATTTAGTTAGTAAAAGATCATGAGCATATTTTATTATGCTACTAAATTATTTATATATAATATTAGATTAGATTAAATCATTAGCTACTAATACTATCGAAAACACAATTTTCTTAATTTTAATTTAATTATTGTAAAGGGAAAATGATAATGCATTTTACGAATACTGTATAAAAATTTAGTGTAAAATAATTAAAAAGAAATGCATTATGAATTTCAGATTTATATATTAAAACTATGGTTTTCAATAATGATGTGTTACTTTAGAGTCTAAAGTTTAGACATAATATAACAACTTTAAAAAGGCATTTATGTTGAGACAAACCTCCGGCCCCTCCGACGGCGTTCCACAACGAAATACAGTCCTCTTTCGATGGCAATGGCTTTTCAGCGGCCGTTAATGTGAGCCAACAAAACAACAAAAGTGTCACTTTTACTAACACTGAAATCATTTCCAAATTTGTTTAGTATTTAATTGAGAAAATAATTTAAAATAATTTTTTGTGTTTTAAACAAAAATGTTTACAACTATTGACAAAAAGTCACACACAATAGAAATACTGTTGAAATTATGAAAATAATGGCAAAAACTCATGATTTATATACTTTTTGTAAATCTATTTAAATTTGTTTCGGTATTCAACTCAAAGAAAACTAATTTGATTTTTATTAAAACCGTTGAGAATATGTAATAATGCTTTTGAAGACATTAATCGCCGATTCCTTTGATAAATATTCACAGAATAATTGAAACCGAATCACAAAATTCTTATATTTTGTTATCACCTTTTGTTTCAATCGCTTCCCTTTATATCAATTGTATGTTTAAATCTAAACAATAATGCAATTCTTCAAAGAATTTGTTGTCAAAATTTATCAATTAATTGTTATCTAATTTAGAATTATTTATAATGTTTTGTAGTTTTAATATTAGAGGTTTTGTCAAAACATTACTAATACAGGAATTTAACTGTATTTATGCGTCAATTGAAAATTATATGAATAGATATTTTCAATTATAATTATAATACTGTAAAAGTATTTCATATAAAATGAAAATTTTATTTATATCATGAATTCAAATTGGTTTTGCAAATTCTGAAATCGATTTTTGATTTATTTATAATAATTTGCACTTTTTTGCACATAAAACTTGATGTTTATCATAAGACTTCAAAAATAAAAATAACTGTAAAAATAACAACATATCAACTAAAATACCACGAAAGTCCCAACGGGTTCTGTTTTTACCACTAACAAATCAGCACTAGACCAGCAATCAACATTTGTACATAAAAACCTACTGTATATTCAATAGACACAAATACATTTAGTTTCAGTATACATAATATAAACAGTATTCAGTTTTATGCTGCAAATTAACACTAATCTTCATAACATTGTCCATAGGATTAGCATTGTTTCCATAAAATTAACATTATCTCCATGTTAAAGTATAGCCATAGACTTAAGCTGTAATCCCATAGGGTAAGTCGGGGAGTGGGGGAGAGTTGTCTAACGTTCTCATAAACAACATTATTCTATAAAGAATTGTGGTTAAAAAGTTTAACTCTGAAAACCATATTGAATTGTAATTTATAATGGATTTAATGAGAAGTTTATCCATAACATTATTTAACCAAGATATGTAGTTTAAAATTGACATTTTATTATAAGAATGGTATTTATACTACAATTTATATTATTTCAAATGTTAAACAATAGGAAACACAGAAATACTTTTAAACAATAAAATTGATTTATAAATGTAATGAATCGGACAATTGGTGTTCACTTTCTGTGAAATGTATTTTTATTTCGTTTAATCTATAAATTCTTTTAGACTTTCAATTGAATGATTGGATAGAAATTGAATTAAATTGTTGTTTTGATGTGTAAAACAATTTTATTCTCCGAGTTATATAACAAATTTCTCCGAAACACATCTTAACATCACTTTATTGCGAAAAGAGACTAATTTTAAATAAATTTTATATTAAATTATGTCACATATTATTATGTCTATCAAATTTGCTTGAAATGACATTTTATTTTGTGATGAATTATAAAAATAAACAAATAAAAGTCATTATTTTATTTCAACAATTATTTTTCCTTTTAAAAAATAATTAAACATAAAAATTGATTTTAATTTTACTTTATAAATAAATTATGAAACTGTAATCTTATCTAAATATATAAGAATTTAATGCTTAAAATATGTAATTATTTATAAAAGTTTAATTACTATTTGTCAAAAATTATCTATAAAAATATTTTATTAAAAATCCTTTAGTACTTAAATATTAAAATTATTATTATTGTAAATTGGATTATAAATAATATTGCTCAATTCTCTCATCAAATTAATCTCTTATTTACTCGTTATCATGGTTATACTAATTATTAATAACTTATTAGGTTAATAACTTATTAATAATAAGCATCGTTTATTACTGTATTTTTTATAACATTTATTTTTATTAACTATAAACTGTGTTTAGAAAAACCACGATGAAATTGTTAGTCCATAATACAATGATAACGAATTCCGTCTATTTATCATGGCATTTTTATTATTATATTTATTAAATATTCTATATTTAGTTTTATGTGACACAATACTCTGTATTCCAAGTATTGTTGGATATTATATAAAGCAATAATATATGTAACAATATATGTCATAACATTATAGTCGATATGATTTAATAAAGTTACAAATCTACAGTTTACTCCATTAATATACGTATTCTGCGCTCACTATTCAAAGTGGTTATACTTTAGTTGAATGTTGCAAAATATTTAAATTATTAATACTATTGTATAAATTTAATGTCTAATTATACAGTATATCAGTAATTTAAATTTTTATTTTTAACAGATTAACACACAATAGTATTATTTTATACTATGACACTTTTAAATAATTGAATTGAATAATACATTTAATTTATTTGAATATTTGAGAAAATGCCATTTTCTAAATCAATTGTCAAATTAAAACAAATTATATTGTGTTGAAAAATGTTGGATCAATGCCTACAGTATTTGCTTATAGTTTACAAATTGAATACAAAGTTTCAGATTGTCTTATATAACATCTGGTATTATAAAAGATTTAACATATTTTTGTGGATTATAAAAACCAATTTTGGTTAATAACAATTATTCTTTGCTATATTAAATATTTTATTTAACTAAGAAATTAAGATAAAATTAAATCTAGCTTTCAGAGTACACATGCAAATGAATATGATTAATAACTCTAATTCATATATTTTATGAATGAATTTTAAAACATTTTTACATTTGCTTGCTTTGATGGGCAAAAATTTTAACAAAACAAACAATTTCATGTTTAAAAATAATTTGTAGGTTTGTATGTAAACCTATTTTGCTAATTAAATTCTGTTTAATATTTTTTCTTTATTGTTTGTTCCGTATTTTAAGCTATATTTCAGATTGAATTCAACATAATTTTGTCTCAAATTTAGCGTAAATTTTGTTTTATATTATTTCTCCTATAAATAAAATTTCGTCGTTTGAAAGATAGTCTCTTCTAAACAAAAATATTTTCAAATGAGAGTATATTTTATTAGCTTTTGAGTTGTATATTAGGATCAAAGCGTTGGTGTATTTTTGTTGAAATCATCAAAAACATGGATTACTTTATAATATAAATTACAATTGAGACTTTAATTTACATAAAAATTATAATTATATACATTATAAAACATTATGAACACATATAATATATTCATTTTTATTCAAATACAAT